TTGCACTTGAGAGTTATGGTTGGTCCCAAGCTTGTGTTGTGACATGAAAAATTTAGAAAATTGAAATAGGAAAAACTTTGCCATTGATGAAGCCAGAACTTCCGGTAAGTATGGTAGTAGGACGTCGCAAGTTTGTGCAGCTCATACTAGAAACAGTGGTCATATTAAATTCCATGTCATTCCTGAAGGAGGCTAGGTCAGGTGCATTTGTTGCTTTCACATTATGCACTTCAATGGTTCTCTTTGCTATGATTTGGTAAAGCAACCTAAGAAAAATCATGGAGGGGGGAAGGTAATGAGTCAATGTGCGTTCATATGTCAAAAGGGCTTAATAAAACATCCATAAGAATTTGAAAATCAAATGTTTGCATCAAGAAATTCAAATGCTAGTCACAAAAGGAAGTTATCCTCACTCACGCAGCAAACAACCCAGTGAAAAGTATCCAGCTTGCAATCGAGAAAGTTCCACCGAGTTCTGTTTTCCGTTTCACAACCAACTTCTGATCATCCTAAATAAAAGATGATACAAATTAACGCATTACCATGTTTATACATCAAGAAAGTATACAAAATTTCATTCATTATGAAATAACATGTTAACAGATGTTAACAGACTTTTATTCTAGTTTCAGAAATCAGAATCATTCCTTAATAATATTCAAATTTGTCTTATACCACTGCCATATACATTAGACACGGGCAACAATGCTGTCTTTCAACCTTCCTAAGTAAGACGCCAAAATGGACCAATTTCAACAATAACACACCAGTTCCAAGTACGCAAAAATTAAAACTTTCTCAATATAAACACATTAATGAGGACTTTAATTCTTAGAAACGAATCTAGACACCTCAAACAATCTAAATCACAACCAACTTAAAGATTAGATGTATTCACGCATATTATACTTGTTAACTACAAAAAAATCCCACTTACATCTAAACACTCTAGGTGGAGCATGCTGTGAGTCGAAAATGAGAAGTTCCAGCTACGAAGATCGACTCACAATTCATCGATACTCACAATTCGATCGAATTTATATTTTACAAGCTCGAACTCGATTTTATGACGAATAATCGAGCTACTCGAGCTCGCTATTAAGCTCATTAATATGTAAAAATAAGCTCGATATTATACTTGACAAAATGGATTATTCATGCTCGAACTCGAACTTGAAATATTTTATTAATTAAAATAATAAAAATATATTTAAATATAAAAGCTCGATTAAACTCGCGAGCTATTCGAGTCAGATATAAAAATACTCGAATTTGGCTCGATCGATAAGTCGAGCTACTCAAGCTCGAGCTCGACTCGATAATAATCGAACCAAATTCGAGTTTTTTTCGAATCGAACCGAGTAGTTTGTGAGTACTAATGTATCATTTACACCCTTAGACACATCCAAATTGATTTGGAGCATTGAAAAAAGAAAAAAAAAAAAAAAAAAAACCTTATCGGTTATTGCGACCGACATGAAAAGTTAGAACCTGAAACTTTCAGCTTAGACATCTCAGGTTTCGAATCTTAGAAAGGGAAGGTGTCCTTTTCGTGTTCTAATGCATAAAAAAAAATCATTTCTCAGAGTATACAGAAAGGACTAACCAGCCAATGCCTGGTAGCAAAGCAAACATCCAAGCGACTAATCCACCATCTAATCTTAAACCAAACATTTCTGCCATCACCAAGCTTTGTAAACCTTAAGAAGAAGCAAAACACGAGCCAAGAAAGCAACATTACAAGAGTAGCTTCCAAGAACACAGCTTGAGACTGAGTAAACTTCTTAATTGAATCAAATGAAAAAATGGTCTCAGGGATCGACACCGCATAGTAATCAATCCCAGAATCAGTTTGTATGTCTGAACTTCCGCCATAGGTAGTGCAGCTGTTGGCTGTAAGATTGAGAAAGTGACCAATTTGGCAGGCACAGAGGCTGCCGTTGTATACGATTGAGTTTTGGGGACAACTAGCCATTTTTTAAGCTTCAAATTAGCGTTTTTGGGATTGGTTTTGAACTGGGTTTCCACTAAGATCTTGCGGTTTTCTTCTTCTTTTTTTCCCCTATCTGTCGGCTTCAGCTTGTTATGATATGGTTTTGTATGGGTTGCAAAGGAAAGATTTTCCGACAAAGATTTGGGGTTAAGGATATGGTTGGGACTTGTCTGAAAAGAAAGATGCTAGAAATTGTTAGAGTTTGGGGTTTTGTTTTTCGGTTAAAGAGAATCAAAGTTGGCAGCGAAGAGAGAGAGAGAAGGTGAGAAGAAAGGAAACGAATATTTGAGAGCTTGTCCATGTGAAAGACAGAATAAGAAACTCTTCCTTTTCTTTTCTTCTTCTTTTTTTTAATATATTTTTAATATTTTCACTTCAATTTTCTTTTAAAAAAGTTTTTTTTTTTACATTTACCATTTTTTTAAAAAAAGATTTTTTTTTACGAGAATAATGTTGCAAACCCATTCATTTTTAGACCACACGTATGGTATTAAGGACTTTTGTCTTTCCTCACATATTAAAACTTGTCTTCATTTTTTTAGACAAAATCATATTATAAATTTTTAAGTTTTAATTTTAATTGTTAAAATTATTCTTTTAAATATTAATTTTAATTACATGCATTGATGGATCTGGGGCCACGAGAAAGTGGGTGACTGTGTTAAAGTGTGAAATCAACGTACGAAATTCATAAATTAGTGGTTGAACGGTTGAGAAGTAGCCAGCATAATCTGCCTTTTTTTTTTTTAAGGTAGCTTTCTCTTTTTCTTTTTTTGTTGCTTTTAGAAAGAAACATAAGAAAATCTTGAGAAAAGGGGTGATGAATTTGATTATAAATGATGTTGTAAAGGTTAACTTGCCGCTACCTTTGACGAAAGCAATGAGGAAGTCAAAAATACAAGTTGCAATAAGGCCAAACCGACAAGGACAATTACCGACGAAATGATAACAATAATGTCAGTACAACGCATTAATTTGTAACCAAAAGAAGCCCCTAGCCATGCCAAACTTTTTGTCAGCAATGTTGAAAAACTATATGAGAATTTATTTCTTTGGAATTTTTTTGGCCTTTTGGAGATTAAATGAGAAAGAAGAAACATGTATGGTTTTTGTCAAACAATGTGAAAACACCTAACCATCCAAATCCAGTTGGCTTAAATGAAATTTTCCAATGAAGAAATAACTCAGAAAAGGTTTTGACTTAAATGAATTTTCCAATGATGAAAAATATCATGAAAAATTTGAAGGAAGTGATTTTGATTTGAAGGAGTCTCTAAAAGTTATTGGAATCATATATTCATCTAACGAATTTCTAAAGTTTCTTATAATAAAAATGAAAATAAATGAACAAGTTGATAAAAATTTGGAGCATGAACCTTCGGTTGGTCAATGATTTCTTAGTGAAGAGGAGGCTTTTTTTTTTTTATAAAATTTATACAAAGAGAAGTGGTTTTCAATTAGAAAATTTAAATTGATAATATAAATGTATATATGGAGAAACTAAAAGAAGAGATGTTGCCATCATTATGGTAGAGCACTTCGAAGGTTATCGAACTATCAGTGAAAAAAAAAAAAAGGAACTGACAAAATGTGGATGAAAGGTTCATCTAAGGATTTCTTTGAGAAAGTCGCGCTATTAAGAAATTTGTTCTTTAGCAATAATATTTTTTGGAGAAATTTAAATAAATATTATAAAATAATCTTTTTTCGCGGCATAAATGGTTTTATGTTACAATCAGTTAGTAAAAATACATATTGAAGCAAAAATATATTCAAAATTGTTGCTAATGCAACATTACTATTTGTAACACTTATTAACAATTTGCGTCATATTTTTTTAACATAAAAAGGCTTTATACTGCGATAGACATTGCAAATGAACTCTTTTTGGCTACAAAAGTATGCATAGAAGTAGTAGCAAATACTTTTGTAGCAAAACTATTTGCAACATAATATAAAATTTATGTTGCTAAATATTACATTTTTTTTTAGTCTCATTTGATGTTCTTCATTAGAATGGAAAGTAACTAAATTTGTTAATAGCCATAATCCTCCATTATTGTCTTCACAAGTTATATATATATATATATATCATTGGATTCGTTAGGATTTGGGTGATGATTAATTATAAAGTCAAGTCTTAGGACTAAATGTTTGGGGTATTAGTAACTGAGTTGCTAGTTGTCTCACTTCTAGGAAACTTCATAAACACATGGATAGTTACTGATGATTCATGTCATCTGACCTTTGGTTCCAGAGTAGAAACCGCTTTATCAAACTAGACTTTTTGTGACATAGGAATGTGCAAGGTAAGTTACCAACATATTGCTGCAAGTTTTGTTTTTCCAAAAGCATCTATGAATATGAAAAGCAGCATATATGGGTTAAATGGAAGATTGATTTGCACTGTGTAGTTTGGTCATATTTTTCTTCTGTGATTACATTTTTAAGCATGTACGATGTTTTTTGTTTTCCCTTTTAAAATGTAGACATTGATTTTGTTATTTCCTGACGGGCTTACACTTTGAATTAGTGAACTGAATATACATTTCGAACTGTAGCTGTGCTTGACATCTTTAAGCTGCTAATTCTTCAGTCTAGTTACTTCCTAACATTAAATTGGTGATTTCACTCTAATTCATACAAGGGACCAGAGATTGCATAGAAACAACACTGAACATGCTTTTTATTGTTCCAAATAATAGTGGCTGATGTGAAGTGCGGACAACCAAAGGAACAGGAACATGTGTGAGCCTATTTTGACGGTCAGAAGTAAAAAAAAAAAAAAAAAACTGCTGTTTTGATTGTTTATATTTTTTTGGTATTATGTTGCTCTTTTCAGCTTCAAGTTCTTATTTCTTGAACACTGCTTTTTTCACCAAGCATTACTTTTAATGGATTTTCATATCTAATTGAAATTCTTGCAGTTTATCTGCTTTTTAGTTGTGTAACAATTCCTTGACAAAAAACATCCTTGATAAATTGAAAGCAATAATGCATGGTAGTATTATAAACTTCACTTAAATAAATTCATCACACATTAAACACAAAATAAAGCAAACCTTAAGATACTAAATATTATAACTTCACTTAGATAAGTTCATTACACATTAAACACAAAATAAAGCAAACCTTAAGATACTAAGCACCTAATCATCATAACCAGCAATCCTGTCCATGATCTTGGCCACCACATCTTTGGACTCCTTCAACAGTTTGATGCTCTTTTTCAGCTTCTCTCGCTTTCCAGAAATTGCAGGAGATTCCACCAACATCCTTTCAATTCCACGTCCATCTGGCTCCATCATCTCATTCACAATCTCCTCAATGTCATTATTCACAAGATTATGAACAGAATACTGCAAATGCAATGCCATGGAATCAACCAACCTTTTCAGAACAATCTTCCAGTATGCAGTCATTCTCATCTTCAGGTCGAAAGCTTGCTGCATAACATTGGGATGCTGCCTGAGATGCTCAACTTCAATATCCCCAAAACCTTCAAGACTCACCCTAGGAGTCCCGTACGACTTGTTTAGAATAGAATTTACATTCCTGATGAAATTTTCTTGTTGAGTCATGAGCTTAGTCCACTCCGACATGTAATCAGGATTACAAGTATAATCCGTTAGCTTCTCCATCTGCACGATCTCCTTAACCCTGTTGATGGACTGCTCTCTCATCTTTTCAACGAGATTATGAGCTGCTCTCTTTGTAGATCCTTTAAGCTGGTAATATATTTCAGAGTGGCGCGTCAAAACAGAGGTCACAACTTTATCTATGTAGTTCCAAATATTTTGAGCAAATTCAATGGGCATAATGGAAATGTGATCAACTTTTTTCTGCAGGATACGAAGGAATGCATTGCGAGGAAGGAAATTTGGTAGTCCAATTCCTTTAGCATCTTCCAAAACCTTGATCTCCTCTACTAAAAAGTCTTTTGTCGGTTCAGTTTCCTCAGAGTTGTGAAGCTCAATAGAGAACTCGTTGAGCATTTCAACCAAACGAGCAGTACCATGCTTGGTACGATCATCAGGGTATTCATCAAATTCCCCTCTCAAAAGAAGTTTCCTGAGGGATTCTTTGGCTGCTCCAATGATCCTCATAAAAGCTGTCAGGGCATCTGCAACAGAGGTCAAAACCTTGGGCATTTTTTCCAGCTCTGAAACATTTGCATTCAGCTTGTCAGTAATGGTTTTCACCATCACAGGTAAGCACCTTGCAATAATTCTTTCCTGAATTTCAACAAGTTTTTGGGCCAACACTGGAACACCTACAATTGATTTATCAATCCTAGACAGATGTGGATCAGTCTGGAACAATCTAGCCTCTTCCCTCCTTGCTTCTTCATATGATTCATCACCAATACGATTCCTAACACAAACATAACCAAGTCCTATATTAACATCATCAGCACTCACCTTCTCAAGAAGCTCCTCAGGGGCCCTATCAGCCTTGGTAACCACAGCAATAGTTCTCTCACCGGTCTTGTCCACTATCTGTGACATTCTAATGGATTCACAGGTGGAAAAATCCACAGTTGCAGACAAAACATTGAGGATAATGCTTTCCTCGGGTGTAATGTACTCCATGATAGTATCTCTGATCTGCTCATAGATATTTTCAGGCTGTCCGTGAACAGGCACTCTAGTTATTCCAGGCAGATCAACCATGGTAAGATCCGGAACCCCAGCCTTTTTCACCACTAAAGTAAGTGGGGTGTTGGATATGCCCTTACCATTGCCTGCAATCTCATCAGTTGCAAGATTTATGGCTGCTGCGATGTGGGATTCCTCTACAGGAACTTGCTTGCCACTGTATTCCAAGTGAAGCTCTGGCGTTGGACTTCGATGACTTTGCAGCCTCATTATGAGGGGTACTCTAGTACAAATACCCTGACTTCGAGGAAGACTAATACCAGCAAGTGATTCAAGAACACTAGACTTCCCTGATGACTGATCCCCAACTACAACAATTGTGGGGAGTTGTATGCCTTCTTTCATGACGTTTAGTAGCCTGAGCCTGTCAATGGCATCAAGCAAAGGTCGAATTTGGTGATTGTATTCCGAAATAATGGGAGCCTGGACTGTTACTTCTTCTTCTACTTCTTGCACCATGAACGAATCTTGCCTCGTGAGAGACAGTGATCCCAGTAATCGAGGATCATCATAGATGGCCGTTCCGTTGGCTACTGTTAGTACTCCATTGCTCCCTGAAGCAACATCCTCATCATATAGACTCATTTTTTCCTAAGAGAAGCAGTGAGAAACAAACGTTTGTGAGGATATATGCTTGAGACAAGTGAAAGAAAAGTGAAATGAAGAGGAAGACTCAGCAACAACAACAAGCTTTCACTGAGAGTGAGTAGTTCAGTTGAAAGCTTTAAGTTTTCCAAGTCCTATCCATGCTTTATAAAGAGGTTTTTTTGGTGCTTCGTTGAAGGTTCTTCCATTGTAACGCCCCGATCGAAAGGAGCTTTTTCAAAGGTAATGCTCAAAGCACGATGGCCCCCACAGACGACACTAGAAGTGAAAAAATGAGGGATGAAAATACTAGGAAACGGTGTTTTGTCCCTATTTCACACTTGTTTTTAGTTTCCGAGACCTAAAGGAAGGGTTAGGTTTGGAGCTAGGGCCTGACCTGTTACAGAAACCTAGTACTTCACATTTGTACCTTTTACCTGCTCTCTTAAGAAATCTAGTTGGTTTTTTTTTTTTTTAAATAAAAAATCTATATTGTTAAATATGAAAAGAAAACAAAAAAGATACAAGAAGCAAGCATTTGGCATTTCACGACATGTTGGATTGGTGAGAGTGTATAAATAAAATGTAAATTTAAAAATTTTATTACTTTTGTTTTGGATATTTAAATTCATATTTTAATATAAATTTATAAATAAAATTTGTTATGCCCTCTGAGTAAAAGATAAGTTTAAGAAATATGATACACATAAAGAGAATTGTTTAAGTAAATTTTAAATATCAGGTATATATCATTTATCTTAATAAAATTATTACATGTACAGGACATATAAAAAAGCCACTTAGTAAGAGGTTGGAAAATAATAGTTCATTATTCTTTGCATTTTATCCTACTTTCTATTTTTTTTTTCACTCAAATAGTTAGTCCTTTTTTTTCATTCAAATATTTATGTAAATACAGTAAATATTAAATTTATATATAATTTTTATTAAAATTTTAAATTATATCATTTTTGTATATTCCTTCAGTTTCATTTTTTATTCATTTTTTTAAATATTCAAATATTATGTTTTATTTTTTAAAATATTTAAAACTTTTATTTTTTATATTTAATATTTTTTAATATATTTTTTTACTTTTTAACATTCAAAATCATAAAATTTTTATTTTTTAAAAAAAATTTTAATTTTAATATTAATACATTAAAATGAAAATATTTTTTAAAATTTTGTAAAAATTAATACAAAACAAATCAATTAGGCGAGAGGAAATATTTTTTATAACGTTTTTTTTGTATTGTGTTATAATATTATATTTAAAATTATTATATTTAATAAATTTAAATACAAAATCTATTAATTTATAAATAAATTATAAAATATTACAATCAAATCATAATTATATCATATTAAAAATATGAAGATTTGAGATAAAAATATGAAACTAATAATTCTTTCTTATATTATTCTTTGATGTTTCACAAAGAGAAGTAGATTCGAAATTTCCTGTACCGTCAGGAGTGATGCAAAGTGGTGACATCACGCAGTTTGCCTTTATTTTTTTTCTTCTATAAAAAAGGTTGATTTTCTTAAAAACAAGGACGAAGTTTGGGATTAGTTTGTGGCTCAGGCTCCCACTTACAACGAAATTATTTTTTTAAGGAAATAATAATTTTTACATTATAATAAATGTTTTTTATGAGAACTTCATGATGAAGTTTGTTTTTTTGGGAAAAAAAAAAAACGACTTCAAGACGAAGGAAGTCAATGCTTGCTCACTAAGCACATCTCCATGGTGCATTCCATGAAATTGACAACCACTTTTCCTGATTTCTCCAACCATTGGAGGAAAGAAAGACAAATAACAGATGCTATTCCATCATCTTTGTTTTTGAACCTTTAAAATTCTATCTATAATTCCAAATATGTTTTTACTAACGATCATTCCTCGTTGGTTCTTCATTTGAGAATATAACTAAGGAGTCAATCACTCAGTACATCTGCATCATGCATTTCATGAAAATGACTGAACAATTTTTCCCAATTTCACCAAACCATTGGAGGAAGGAAAGACAAATAACAGATGCTATTTCATCATCTTTGTTTTTGAACCTTTAAAATTCTAGTTCGAACAATGTTTTTACCAATTTAATTAACGATCATTCCTCGTTGGTTCTTCATTTGAGAATATGTAGTTTGTGAAACGTTTCAACACGTTTATCATTCCACAAATTCTACTACTGTTGATTGAAAATTGTTATTGAAGAATATGATTTGAAAATTATTACGAAAATTATCGTGGAGAAAAGTATGATTCATGATTTTTGAGTTATATATATAAAGCGATAGCTACGCTTCTTCGCGGGATATATATTTTTTATAAACTTAAACTATTTTTTATAAAATATATCTTAAATTAGAAAATATAAAATTTTTTTAAGTTAAAAAATTATTAATATAATTCAATCTCAATTCTTTCAAGATGGAAGAGCACTGAAAACACAAAAATAACAAATTAAGACATGCATGCCATATTCTATATAATGGCAAATAATAGGCTCGGATCTTGGTATTTGCATAAAGTTTAATCTATTTTGTCTGATCATCCTATTCTTTATATTCAGTAATATCTCTTCATTAAAAATCTGAAATTATTTCATAATATGTTACTATAAACATAGACGTTTTATAGTAAGCATATAAACAGGTTTATAATAGAAAATAATAAATAAATTTGCAGAGGATACCTAAGTATTTTTATGTTCCAAAGCAAATGAGCCATGTAATAATTTAAAGGTTACAAATAAATAGAGTTGATATATAAATTTTAGACCTAACATAGTGTGAAGGCTTTTGGCTTAAACTTTAATAATCAGTTGCTGAAACATATGAGAAAGAATGAAAAAAGCCATCGAAAGATATAATGTGGTACCAGTAGCATCCAACTCCTACTTTAAAGGAGTTAATGATTCAACATGCTAGATCGGATTAAGGTAAAAAAATTTGCTTTTTTCCTTTAAGGTCACACCTTTATTTATATATATACCACATGGTTTTAACATTATTTGAAAGATCTTTAGTTGAAACCCAAAAAAAAAAAAAAAAGATAAAAGATAAAAAAGCAAAGGAGGTGAAATTAACTTGAAAGTAAGATCATGTGTAGATGTCTTGTTGTGATAAAATTGATATGAAAAATGTTTCATAGACCCTTGAAGAAAGACATCATTTTAATCTCTAAAACATGGTATTTAAAATTGAATATCAATATCCTCAAACACCGGTATATTTCAACAACAAACAGCTTTCATTATTCATATATGTAAATGGTATATTTCAACAGCAAACAATTTTCATTATTCATAGACATCAATGTAAAACCAAATGCATATTTTTTAATAGTAGCTACAATAGTTATTTAAGTTAATATACATTTAAACGTTGATCATTATATTTTTGGAATTTATATCATTACCTAAAGAAAAAAATGGTGATTTATATTTTTGGGATTGATAAACTATATTAATAATTCACCACAACATGGTAATTGAAATCATAAAAAAAAAATAGCATTAGAGACTTTAAAATATGACTACCTAAAGGAAAAAAAAAAAGAAACTTATTTTTATTTTCACTTCACAAAACAATCATTAAGGAACTTAATTAACTTTGATGCAAAATTATGAAACAAAAGATAGTATAAAATAGTAAAAAAAAAAGTTTAGAAAAAATGTTATAAGAACTCTTTTTGCATTTTTTTATGGGTTTCATTAGAATTATAAAATTATTTTAGGAAACTTAATTAGATATATCCAATTTCTCTAAATATTTTCTCTTCTCTAATACTCTTTCAAGAGTTCTTTTAGTATGTAGATATTAAGTTCTTTATTGAGAGCCCTAAAATTAATTTTTAAAAATACATATAAAAAATTAATTCAATTTTTTTTTTTATTTTAACCACTCAAATTGACTTTTTCGCAATCCACAATCTCTAAAACCATCGTTCTTAAAATCTTTTAACAAAACCTTCGATTTACATTCTCTAATTTTCATTGCCTCTTTTTTGTTTTTTTTTTTTTCGATTATTTGAGAGAAGCTTAGTTTTAAATAACAAAAACCAAATTTATTAAACCTTAATCCAAGAAAATTAAAAAAATGAAAATATTAAAGAACAAAAGAAAAAGACATAAAAAAGAAAAATGAATCGAAGAATAAAGCAAAACAATGGGAATAATTGGAGGCTGTGAAAGAATAAAAATTAAACAGCCAACTGCTTTTTTTCTCATGCCACACCTTTGGTTGCCGACCGTTCTTTGTCTCTTTCCTTCGGTCCTCTTATGCTTTGCCAACTTTTTAATCTTTTCCAGAGTCTTGTTGCTTATTTATTATTTCTTCCTAAAACTTTATCCCATTTTTTTTATTTTAATTAAAGGAGTAAAATAATTATTTTAAAATTCAGACAGATGTCAAAAGAAAACAATCTAAGGGATTTTTTTTGAATATATTGTATAGATGCATTCACAGTGATATTGTTATTAATTTATATATATTCATAAGGTGAAATTACATTTCAATCCAATAATTTTGATAAATATGATATTATCATTAATATAACATATAAAAATTTATTTAAAATTAAATAAATTAACAAATCTATAATATTAATTTTACAGATGTACGGATGGTCACTAGGACCATGCGTCCATCCTTTTTTTTTTGTTTTGTTTTGCTTTTTTTAAGTGAAACATGTTAATTTTTTTTTTACTTTTTAAATATTTTATGTAAAATTTTTAAATGAGGCCCATTATTTTATGTTTTAGTGAGATCATTTTTTATTTTTTAATTCTATTTTTAATTAACAAATTTTTAAAACGTTAGGCCTATTTTTTATTATTTTTTGGACTCACTTTTTCTTTGTTTTTTCTTAAATTTTTTATTTGTCTTTTTTAATTTTGTTATATTTAATATTTTTTTAATTGTTGGAACTTGATACTAATTTTTTTTAAAGCAACTTAATTAATAAATAATTTTTTAAATTTCATTTTTTGTGAATGACTGACTCATTTGATATCAAAGAAATGTTACATGTGAAGTCATTTAATTTTTTTTGCTTTTACTTTTAATTTTTTTTCTATTTATAATTTTCTCTTTTTTATTCAATAAATATGT